TAAGAAGAAGCCAATGAGTAGCAGTAGAAAGGCTGCAGAAAGAGTCAGGAGCCCAGAGGTGGAGGCAAATGAGGTGAGGGGGTTGGGGGCAGAACGAGGAGACGAAAGCAGACGACACAACATTGCTAGAGAGCAGGAAAGGAAGTGAAAGGAGACAATTTTAGAGAAGAAAATTTTTTGGTCGCTACCCGGATTCGAACCCGGAACCTCTGAGTGAGAGGCCAACACCTTAACCTCTTGGCCACGAGAGCCCCCTCCGTCATTATCTGGATTCGAACCCAGGACCTATTGATGGAGAGGCGAACACCTTAACCTCTCGCAGCTAGTGGAGACGGTTGGAAAATATTCTTTAAAATATAGCTAGTGGAGACAGTTGGTAAATAGAAAATAAAATACAGTTCGCGGAGACGGTTGGAAAATGGAAAATAAAATATAGCTACTGGAGACAGTTGGAAAATATGAATTAAAATACAGGTACACGAGACGGGTGGAAAATAGAAAATAAAATAGGCTACAGGTAATGGAGACGTTGTAAAAATATAAAATAATTTCAGCTACTAGGTTGAAATATAGAAAATAAAATACAGTTCTTGGGGACAGGTGGAAAATATTTTTAAAAAATACTGATACTGGAGACGGGGGGGAAATAGAAAATAAAATTCAGTTCGTGGAGACGGTGGCAAAATGGAAAATAAAAATCCCCCACTGGAGACGGTAGAAAAATAGAAAATAAAATACAACTAGAGGAGATGGCTGGAAAAATAATTTTAAAAATGAAATACAGTTACAAGTGACAGTTGGAAAAAGAAAATATAATACAGCTAGTGGTGAGAGTTGGAAAATATTCTTTAAAACACAGCTAGTGTAGTCAGTTGGAAAATAGAAAAAAATACAGTTCGCGGAGAGGGTTGGAAAAAAAAAAAATACAGTTCGCGGAGAGGGTTGGAAAATAGAAAAAAATACAGTTCGCGGAGAGGGTTGGAAAATAGAAAAAAATATACTGAGGACGAACTACAAAATACTAGGAAATAGTGGGGATGATCTAGACAATGCTGGGGAGGATCGAGAAAATATCAGGGTTGAGCTAGAAAATACTGGGGATGAGCTAGAAAATATTAGGGTTGAGCTAGAAAATGTTGGAGGTGAGCTAGAAAATACTGGGGGATATTTGAGATAAACCAGAAAATATTGAGGAGGGGCTAGAAAATACTGGCAAATTTTGGTGATTCGCTAGAAAATGCTGGGAATGATCAGGAAAATACTAAGGAATACTGAGGATGAGCTAGAAAATACTGGGGACGAGCTAGAAAATAATATTAGAGAAGAACTAAAAAATATTAGGAAATAGCTAGAAAATATAAGAGTTGAGCTAGAAAATATTCGAGATGGAGCTAAAAAATACTAGTGATGAGCTAGAAAATACTGGAGACGAGCTAGAACATAATATTAGAGATGAGCTAGAACATAGTAGGAAATAGTTAGAAATAACTGGGGATGAAATATAAAATATTGTGGATGAGATAAAAAAAAATACTGGGATGACTAGAAAATGTTGGGAATGAACAAGAAAATTTTATGGATGAGCTAGAAAATATTTGGGATGAGGTGAAAAGTATTAGCGATGAGCTAGAAGATACTGTGTTTGAACTAGAGAATAGTGGGAATGAGCTAGAAAATTTTAAGGTTGAGCTAGAAAATACTAGGGAGTATTTGGGAAAAGCCAGATTTTATTGGGGAAGGGCTAAAAAAGCAGTGGCCAGTTTTGAGGATCAGCAAAAAAAAAAATTACAGGGAATGATCTCTGAATTACTGAGAAATATTGGTGATGAGCTAGAAAATAATGGGGATGGAGCTAAAAAATACTGAGGATAAGTTAGAAAATATAAGAGATAAGTCAACAGATATTACTGATGAGCTACAAAATATTGGGGATGAGCTAGAAAATAGTATGGTTGACCTAGAAAATACTGGGGATGAGCTAGAAAATAGTATGGTTGACCTAGAAAATACTGGGGATGAGCTAGAAAATAATATGGTTGACCTAGAAAACATTGGGGATGGAGCTAGAAAATACTGGGGATGGGCTAAAATATAAGGGTTTAGTTAGAAAATACTGGTGATGAGCAAAAAAAAAATATAACGTTTGAGTTAGAAAATACTGGGGATGAGACTGGGGATGAGCTACAGAGATATAGGAGATAAGGTAAAAAATGCTGGGGACAAGCTAGAAAATATTAAGGATGAGCTAAAAAATACTAAGGATGAGCTAGAAAATATTAAGGATGGGCTAAAAAAATATTATGGATGAGCTAGAAATAATTTGGGATGAACTAAAATATATTAGGGATGAGCTACAAAGTATTGGGTAGGGCCTACAAAATATTACGGATAACCTAGAAAACAATAGGGATGAGCTAAAACATTGGCCTACTTTTGATAAGCTAGAAAATATTACGGATAAGCCACAAAATACTTGTGATGAGCTTGAAAATATTTGGAATGAGATAGAAAAGTCCGGGGAATATTGGGGATCAGCTAGAAAATATTGGGGATGTGATAAAGAAATGTTGGGAATGGACTAGAAAATATTACGGATGAGATAAAAAGTATTTAGGATGAAGTGACAAATATTAGTGATGAGCTAGAAGACACTGTGGTTGAGGTAGAAAATAGTGGAGATGAGCTAGAAAATTTTAAGGTTGAGCTAGAAAATACTTAGGATGAACTAGAAAATACTTGGCATGAACTAGAAAACAGTGGGCACAATCTAGACTATGTTGGGGAGGATCTAGAAAATATCAGGGTCGAAAATGTTGGGTATTAGATGAAAAATATTGGGAATGAGCTAAAAAATACTGGAGATAAATTACAGAGTATTTGGGATGAGCTAGAAATTATTGGGGATGAGCTGGAAAATAGTGTAGTTGAGCTAGAAAATTGTGGGGACACGCTAGTAAAATATTAACAATAAACTAGAAAATACTGGGAACGATCTAAAAATGCTGGGTATGAGCTAGAAAAGAGTGG